TTATATTTTTAAACTTCAGAATCAACAAATATGTTTCGTTGAAACCGGAGGTAGACACACACAAATGGTAATATGTTCAGCTATTCACATTACTGTGGTCGTATCTCGTGTAGCCATTGCATGGCTAAGTCAGATTGCAACTTTCCGGAAAACGGTCGCTTCTCTCGAGCCTCGGAAAGAGCATTTATATCAGATTAACTAAGGAAGCAAATATTTACCTTGTTTACTTCTAATTCTAAATCCTAAGGTTGATTTTTTCTTTACTTTGGTTCCTCTGTACTTCAATGGTGCATCCACAGATACGCTTAATATTAGCTGTCAAATGGTATACCACGATGTGCTAACTAATATTCGTGTTCTCTACTGTCAGTTAATATGCATACTAACGAATCTGCGCTTGTGCTACCCTCTTGTGGATGATAGACACGATTTTCCGACCCCCGTTCAGAGGGGTGGTCGGAAAATGATTTTCCAAAAAAAGTCATCCAACGTTGGCCCTTTCATCGCGCCGCCCCCCTATTGCCCCGCTCAAGCGAGGCGATACCGACGAATACGATTGCCAATGCGACCGCTGTCGTCGGAAGTGCGAATTCATTTATCAGCATAAACGTAGGTGATTTGAAGCCATCGGTAATGCCCTATAGGATCTGTTCGGTGCCGTTGGTGGCCGCTGGCCAGCTGATCGATGCGTTCTTTCTTTATTCCAATTGTATGGCGGATGGCTGTAGAAACAATAGGATATCACAAAGTGATGTACGGCAGCAGCGGAAGCAGTACGATTATCACTAAACAAAAGCGTGATGAGCGATAGCTAACTTGGCTAGACGTAAAAGTAAGCCATACAGATGAAATACATATGGACACAATCGACAGGTTATTGGTGGGCAGACTATTCCCAAGTTTCAGGCTTGAAAATTACACGATACGTACGTCAAAAAAAAACAATTAACTTATCTGTTATAATAAATCGAACGGTATCATACGCAAGGAATAAGACTAGCGCGGTCAAGAGGGTCAACAACAATAACGGCGAGCTTTACCGTACGAAAGAGACCATCAAAAATACAACTGGAATGCCATTAGCTGCCTTTGTTTCGTCCCGTCCCAGATTTTTAGAAGACGCCATTTGGCTATAGCTTATCGACTTATATAGTAGCATTTAATTGACACCCCGGTGTTTGTCTAATTTTATGGAGCCCAATCGGATACGGCAGATTACGTGCCACTCTACGGCTCAGATGGTATATAAGGGATGAAATCAAGCAGATCGACGGGCGGTTTCGTAATTATGGTCGTTATCATTTTTTCGCGATAACTTTTTCTTTTTCTACTTATTCTAGTGTTATTGCCACGTTACGCTGCTGCGGTAGAGTGAGTTAACGTTACTGTATCGTCACGTTTGACTGCGTATGGAGACCGATGCCAGGCAAGATGGATGAAATGGCAATATTCGAAAAGTACAAAATTCGCCCAGCCGATGACGCTAAGGTCAACTGTGAAAACAATACTATAAAAATCACTTGTATAATTATTGTTACTCTATATGTACCCGATAGCCTATGTTTGTTATTTATTATAAATACGATATTGTAGCGGCCGTTTTTTGTCGTGCAGTACAAATTAAAATGTTTTGACCTCTCGAAAATTTCTAACCGTTTTCTTTTGCTGTAGACGTTTTTTAGGCGTAACACAACATATTGTTTTGTCCCAATATTTCCCTTTCTGCTTTCGGTGTATCAAGTAACTACCGCTGGCTCGATTGTGGCCAAAGCGTACAGAACGGCAGGACGTCCCAGGGCCTGAGGCCGAATAGGCCCTACCGGTTGTTTTGGCTCCTGTTGCTAGCGCCGATTTTGGCTTATAGTTGATATTTTTGGAGTACAGTACGACAGCCATCCCCAATCGCGACAAAAGCAATTTACCCTGAGTATCTATCTGCCTTCTCCCCTTTAGCCGGTCGCAGTGGCCGTTATCGTTCGCTAATGAATATTTTACATAAACGACCTAACACATTAGGTTCAATGACGCTGTTGAAGTAATTTACTAAATGTTCACTGATGATAATACTTGCTTACTTGAAAATAATGAAGATTTGGCTGACGTGAACAGACAGCCCTTGTAATAATAGAGGAAATGTATTCGTACCCACGATGGCTATATCAATACGAGATAACAGTCTGTAACTATGGCGGAGCACAGTAAATGGACTAAAGGAAATTCAACGACTGCCCTAACAAGCATATAAAATAACGAACTGGCAACCCGTCGACACCCATCCTATACGCATATATAGGTCGACAAGCATTTGCCACAGGAGATCAGAATCTGCTATTAGAAAATAATTATCAACCTCCTTTGGTAGACGAAAGCTTGAGTAGAGAAAAAAAAAAAAGTTCGGTATTCGGTAATTTGCTATGCCCTTTAAAGGCTTATTACCATGAATAATAAATCTGCGAATTTTAAAAAAATAATCATTGGTGTTTCATCATGATGATAGCGATTACGGCTATATTGAGGAGAACAGTTTGAGCAGTGTGGCCAGATGGGGAAGATATGTGTATTTCGCACTATATAAGCGTTATTCCAACCAATACTATCAACTTAATAGTCGAATCTCAAAGTTATTAACGTAACAACCAAGGGCGGAGAGTTGGAAACGTTCGGAACCTTCTGTTTTTGGTAAATTTTATCTATTGCATTTGTTTTTTTATTCGCATAGCAGAAAGTATCAAACGTCCTGCACATTACTCATGCACAGTCACGAAGGACAGCGGCGTACGGCGCTTCTGCAGTGGCGAACTCTGGCTGGCACGTATATGGGTACGATTGAGAGACAACATATCGGTCCTTCGAATACGCACAAAATATATGGAGAGGTAAATATATTGTATGGTCAGTCGAGATCTGACCACCTTCGAGCAAGAACATCGCCCAGACCCGGGCCCGGACCAATGGACAAGCGGAGAAAGCACTCGAAAAACCACTCCAGCATGTCGAATTGACTTTACAGAGGATCAGTGAATCGGACGTGTATAGTGGTCACCCTACCATCGATTTGTTGGAGGAATGCCTTTTTCACCCGTTCAGCCTGGAAAATCCGCGAAACAAAGTTCTGACGCGATTTTCTTTATAACCAACAAAGCCGAAAGACGTACTAGCTACAACAATATAGAAAAGCTGCCGCAAATGATCGGCATCATCGCAGCCAGTGGTAGAGCAAACGCATTTGCCCCACAGCTCTATCTCCGGAGCAAAACGGAGCCACACCCAGTCGCTATTGTGAAACATGCCTTACTAATTTCGTTTAGCTACTTCGTCTACTATCATATTTAATACGATATTTTGATAGTACGTATCGTGTACATATTGTATCATGTACAATATATCGTTTAACTAACCAACATCTACATGGTTGGAATCGAGCTTCGAAAAGTGTAATATTCGTTGAGGAACACCAATAATGATTCGATCACAATTACCATTGTGATTCATTTTATCACGTGCCATCGCCACCCTGTTGGTAGTCCATGTATATGCGCATGGCACACGGGTAGCCGTTAGAAATCCCTAGTTATCTACGATACGCAGTAGATCTACTATACAATGACGGGAAATTTTCTCACTGGAAGTGCTTTCCTCTGCCGTATAGCCCTATAGGAGCTGGCAGCTTGGGCGTCGAGGCGCCGAAATGGTAGAGCTAGCAAGCGTAATGGACATACTCAGTAATACTAGTCTGCAAAGGGCGGCTTTTATTTTTGGCGAAAAGGTTCATGCTGCGTTTGTATTTATGAACTTGATGGACGCACCGCATCAGGTACGGGACAAGGATTTCTCATCCTCATATCACAGAGAACAGGACACTTATTCGAAATTTATAGCGCGCTTGACACGCTATCAAGGGCGGATGGCCGGAGGTCATTTACGCACCTGTTGAAACGGTAGAACGGGCTTACAGGAGCTGCCGAAAGCCCTCCATCTTTCACATCGGATGGGCGTACTATAACTAAGCCCAGCGAACCTCTACACGGAGGATTCAACAATCTTAAACATTCTAGGTGGCGTTACCCTGAATGGATTGACGCTTTTTTGAGAGAAGACGTACCGATATGTCTAAAAGGCTTGGACTATGCACCAGTTACCTAATACTGGACATTGCCAATGTGAGTATCTTCTTCTAGCAGCATAGTCGAGCACCGAGCTCCTACGCATCTGCATTGTAGCGTGTACAGAACCGAACACTGATCGGCGAAATAAATGAAGACTCCTGAAACTATTTTCCTTGAAAATATCTGAAAGCTATTGCTAGGCAGCCGATATGGTAAACTTGGAAGTAGGGAGTACAGTTATGGAAGTATGTGTTTAGTAAAAATCGAGTTACTGCTTAGAACATTCAAATGGCTCTCGTTTTTTTAATAAGCTACTCTGCTACGGCGACGTGAGTTAGAGCACGTTGAAGGCAGCAGGCCCGTCGGCGCCTGGAGTCCTACAGACGGAACCATAAAAACCATTTCACTGAATCCTGAAGTTGTTCGCAGAATGGAATCTGATAAAGAAAAAACAACACTACGTGCTTGCCACATCGATGTAAAAACACGCATTAAATAACACGCCAGCAAATAAAGTGGGTGGGATGCAGGCGATCCGGCATTGCGAAACTATAGATATTATATACTTCAGAGCTGAATATTCATTCGACGACGTAAGCGATTCGAACGATTTAGAACACAATAGTACATAAAATCACGCATTTCAATAAAGAAGGTATTTCTGAATAACGTACCACTATTTATACATTCAATCTGATTTCTCATGTTGTTCAAGCATGGCGAACCTGAGCTCCTTATTGCTCAAGTCGTGCGAACCGTCGCTTACTGTTCATCGCTTCGTTCATATGGCCATTCTATTTGTCGGCCTTACACAATCTGTAATAGCTCTAGAATACAATCAATTGGACGCATACAGATTTACTTATGATTGGTTTTTGTGTAATATTACCATACCTTTTTAGATCACAATAAATGCTTGTCCTGGGAACGAACCGCGTCTGCAGCGTCTTTATTGCCCGAATATCCTCCTATCGATATGGAGACCATATCTGAAAGCATTAAGAACATTTCAGTAAAGCTAAGGCAATATATAGGTTTATATGGACATTGGGCCTATAAACTACCGTAAAGAGGTGAACGAATCGTTTGAAAACTCACATTAGGCCAAAAATGGCTATAACTAGTTATCCAGTTAAAGGCCTGAATTGAAAAAAAACAAATCAAGTTTAATATATCTGACCCCAGCTCAACATGTTTCGTGTGTCCAGTACCTTCGATTGTAATAACAGTGAAATTGTCAGACTGACGCGTAATTTTACGTTTTGTCCTTTTCCTCTAAATTATGCCCACTTATCTTTATGAAAACAACTAAATTCTTGCGCAATACCGTAATAATAGTATATGCTTAGTTAAATAACTGAGAACAATGTGGTGATATTTTTGTTTGTATTTGCCGGTTTGTATAGCCGATCTGGCTGCTCGATCTGTTTATCAAACTTTTTCATTGCCTCTTTATATTTATCTAATGTCTATGGTGGCAGTGGATAGCATAAATAATGTTCAACAGCAATGTGGGGACGAATTCAGCGTTTCTATTATTATTCATGGGTTTTACAACAGGCGCAGTTTTCCTCTCCTCCCTGATCCTAGGATACGAACATTAGGCTGTACGAATTCTAACAGTTGCTCCAGTCCAGCTGTTCGTGTCGCCGTCTGTTTCGCCGTCAAAAGTTCTAGTTTTCTTCAGAAGACTGTTGGCAACATGGATATATGCGTCAAAGTGTACCTATATGCAAATCGGGCGCCCATCTAAAGCGGTGAACCATCGAGCAAGTAACCGGCAATGATAAATGAGAAAGCCAAGGTGATTAACATGTACACTTTACATAACGCTCACATATGACGAAACAGGATTATTTAACAATGCAGACACAAGCAAATTTTCAAAGACGTTTGTTTATATATATATGTGTGTGTAGGTGCGGGTAGATGTTTGCGACCGAGTTGTACAAAGTCTAGGTCGAACCAATCGATATAGTTAGTTGCCTTCTCTCCGCCGCTCATCTCGGCTAGGCGTTGTGTAGATCAGGTAGCTTTCAATCATCGCGAACATTGAGAACTGAGCTTACAAATTTTCTACAGGGCCAGCTTGATTATCGGTTTATATCGCCGTTGGCTGGAAGCGTGCCTGCTTTTCCGGTCGCTCGTCTATTGTTAAGGGTACAAGGACACAGGGACGGGCTAAAAATTTTTTGTTGTTCTCCTCTTAGTGCGGACCGGAAAGAACAGCAAACTACGTGTAGCGGGTCACCTGTGATCCAATTGAAGATTCTGTTTTATTCTTTATAGAAAGCGAAGAGTTTACTTACGCGTTTTACGATAAAGTTCAGACGGGCAGTTTGACTAGTAGGCGGTCAACTTAGACGACGATCAAAGCAGTGAATCGATGCCTACGTCAACGTATGCCGCCATAATCATCGAAAATAGCATGTGCGCCGCAAGAGATCGACGCCCCTTCGTCTCCTCACTAATAATGTATCAAGTAGCTATACTACTAAAAAAGACATTCTCTGCGAGACACAATACCACGGAAAGGGTGACACAGAAAGAGATTAGTAATTTTGCGGGCTATATAAAAGCGTGTTTCCAACAGCGTCAAAAACATCGAATGATACACACAACCAGTTTACAAGATATACCCATTGCTTTTGGCTTAATTCAGTTTTACTCCGCGAAGGCCGCGCACGACACTAACCCATATTTAGCTGCGCTGAGGTTTTATTTAGTGATATATATATATATATATATATATATATATATATATATATATATATATATAACGGGTCGCACGAACCATTGAAACTTAGATTTTTATAACATCATTCGTCAACTTATGTCCATAGATTGAAGCTGTTGCTTTGAACGGTCCGTTTCGCTCGCTATGGATCGTTTCGAAACAGTACCCTATAGCTTGACAAGAATTTATTTGACAACTCATTTTTAATGTTTATTGCCATCTGTTGATTACTGATGCAATACAAAGTTCAAGTAGCTGAGCTCTGAACATGGTACGGATTCGGTATCACTCGAATTGTTCAGCTGGATGTTAACTTTATTTCTACAGTCATTATCCTTGTCAGTGTGACGTCCTCAAACGATCCTACCTTAACGTCAAAGTCCTTTCATAGGTGTCTTTCGTTGGTCATATCTTCCGGTCTGTCCTTGAGAAGGTTACATCATTGGGTCATACGATCGCGTACTAGGTCTTAAATTGTATTGGCAGAAAGTGCTAGGATAGCGTAGAGAATTTTCGACTGACGTGTGTCGCCACCTCTGTTGATGTCCAAGTCACACGCCAAGGACATCGTAAGTTGTCCTCGTTTTTGGCCCTGTCACGACTGGCGATGATGATGATGATGATGATATTGTTAAATGCAATGCACCTCGTGACGTTATAACATAATGTTATTGGAGCCCCTACATCGGCGAGTAAGGGCTTCGCCGATTGCTCGCACTGAATGAGGTGGCTCACCATAACCGCATCATTCCGTTGTCCAATAAACAACAAGCTGACCAAATAGGCAAGTTGTGGCGATCTGAAAGCCTGAAACAGTGTAGTTCGGTCATGGAGAACGCTGCAAGAGCCGCAACGGTCTCAGCAATCATTCGTGGACGGTTTTGGCAAATTGCAAAAATCGTTTTGGTGTGCGTAACGTATCGAATGACTGGTTCACCAATCCTGATCGCGTACGCGACGCATTTCTCTGCAGACTGAAGCAAACGTTTTCAATTTCAGGTTTATGGCCTATAAGGGTCCATTTTACAGTTCGGTTTGGCCGAATTAGATAGGGCACACATTTTCTACTATAACGCTACTTTGATCAAATGCCAACAGACAATTTGGCGTATCGCTATCTCCTCTCTGTCCTGAACACCGGCACTCGCACGTCCTACAACTTGTGGTGTTCGCTATTGCCACTACTGTAGTTGCTGCACCCGTTGGATAACCTGAAATTAGCTTGCTCTGCTATTATAATTTCTGTTTTATCGTGTGCCAGTCGGCTTTTCGCGTTCAAACTTCTTCAAACACTCTTCAAAAAACGTGATGGCGGACAGATGGTGCATTATCTTTCTGCAATGCTCGCTATGACAGCAGCAGCAGCAGCAGCAGCAATGACCAAGCGAGCGTTGGCGTCCAAACGGCCGCTGTGGTAGCTTGAACAGAAGTTGACGAATCAACAGAAGCTATAGAGCGTTGTGCGTTACCGCTAGCGTTTTCATAGGATGGTCATTTGTTAGCTGTTGCTGCTCGACGTCGGTGGAGGCAGCAAGATTGCTTTGTCGAAACGTGAGCTAGAACAACAGTAAATAACATCCGCATATATATGTTATGCTTGCTATCACCACAGCACCGATCGGTGCTGTGGTGATAGCAAATATGCTTCTAGATGTAGTATTATACATAACATATATATATATTGCATAACAATACCATGCGTAAATTAGCTCCAGATAGCGGCAAACGTTGCTATTCGACGAACAAACAAACGAGTATGACGCCAACGAAGAGACAGCAAGAGGGAGATAGATAGACTTCTGTTTCTCCTATACATCGACACCTATCGACGGTCCAAACGCGGCCAATAGGGGCGTAGTAACATTTTTGGCTACTAGAACGCCTATATTTTAACAGTTCAGCTCCCGATCGTTTTGCTTGATTGATGGCCGTAGTACTCGTTACTTGCAGTAGCTGAGACACGAGACACGATGACTGCCAGGCCATCGACAAAAAACCGTTAAACTTCTAGGCAAATAGGTATATTAAAGCTTATTATACGCACGCGTATATGTGTGCTCCGTAGGTACGTTCCGTGTGCACACATTAAACGAAAGCTTCTATTGTCTAATGAAATGCACGCTGCTGTTATACTGCCCCTGCTTTTGTCGTTATCACATATATATATATATATATACATATATAGGGTTGTTAAAGGTATTGATCGTTTTTAAGCCAAAATTATATATTTTTTATATTTTAAACTAATTTCTTTCTTTTCCGTTTTCTACCGTTTTCTAGTAGCACCATAATCTCATTACAATAGAGCTTGTGAAAAATTCTGACAAGTGATTCTTACGTCTCTCCATTGAGAACAAATAATGCCATTACGAAAGCTCTGCTGAGACCCGAGCCATCCGGAAAGTTTTTAGAAAGTAGACAAAGACGTCCGGCATTGTCATGGTGGACGACGGCACCTTTTCTATTTACTAGATCCGATGGGTTTTCTTCGATGGTTCGCGGACGATAGAAATCCGAGTCAATCGTTCTGCCAGGCAGCTGCGAATTATAATTGACGCTTTATTTCCAATTGCACTAAACACGTAGCGTTACTTTTTTGGCGTCAGTCTGGGCTTTGCGGCAGACAGGCAGAATCGGAGCACCGTCCTTTTTTTAATATACGTTACCTATTTGCACAATATTGTCCTATGTGGCATCCTTTTCATTAGCCGTGACCAACAGCTTTAAAGAGATGGCTCGATTTCATCGTGTCTCCGCAGATAGAAATACGATAGAGGAAATTATTTTATGCCAGCTAGTTAGTTGACGATCTTAGAGCCATTCAATCGTTAATCTTGTTCAACTTTCGCAGAGGTTCTATGAATTTTTTCTTGCTATGCAAAATATCGAAGAAAAAAAACAGATCTTCAAGCCGTTCTTATCCGAAAGTCTATAGGTCTCGGCAGCGTTTGTTTTCTTGAAAAACTATAAAATCTAGCAATTTTTTACAGGATGTTTACTCATCCTGGAAGCACCTTAGCTCTGAGTAAAAGCATTTCACCAGACCAGAACGATACACCTACTATTAGCGAAGCTCAGATCAAACCAGCACTAATCCAGTGTCACTCATTGAACCTAGAATACGTGATCACTCTAAAATGATTTAGATACGCACTCTTTCGACAACTCTATCTATCATATATGTATATACTAGAAATAGATAGAATGGTAGATAAAAGGCCTGTTGCCAACCGACAAACTTCACGATGCCAA